GATTCATCATGAGAAAATATTTTTCACCCAAGCACAGCAACAGCATTATGGATGATAGAATCAAGAGAGACATCCATCAAAAAGCAGACAATGTCTGGACCTTGAGCAACTCCACTTAATCCCAAGACAGGTAATATCTTTGAATATGTAATGTGAGCAATTCTTATTTCTCTGAAGTATAGGAAATGGCAACATGAACTAAACTGGTGGATGGCAATCCGAAATTCTCTTGCGAACTTCTGGTTGGGAATGGTGTATGTCATTTGGAGAGCAGTAGGTGTTGTTCATTCGAATTCCCTACCCATGTACAATGTTGGTGATCATAACATTTCTCTGGATCTTTGGGGAAATCTGAGGATTTTCTTTCATCATGTCTCTGTGTTATATGCAACTTATCTCTGAATCTTTTTCTGTTAGTTGGGAATTGGTTGCTCTGATCAGTGATTGCCTTCACCCCTGTTACACGTAAAAGCTTCATGTGTCTGGTGCATTATTTATGCTCCTCGGGAACATGCTTCCCATTTTGTCCCAGCTGATTGGTTTGGAGGCCTGCATGGAAGTGAAATGCTTGATGGATGTTGGAATTGTATCTCTGAGCCAACTATACTTCTTGTGAATCTCTCAGCATGCAAATAAATCAAAACAGTGTAAACAACGTGAAGGTCCGAATCACAGACCAGGCTGATGAAAAGACAGATTTTAATTGGACTTTATCAAAAAGTTCTCTCATCTTTGAATAAGAAATTATGATAGTAAGATATGAGAGCTGAGAATATCCAGACATGAAAAACAACTCTATATGGTGGCTGGAGCGTGAGATGACCATTAGCATGGAGAATTGATACAGCATCCAGGGAGTGTGATATATTCAGAGACAACAAGGGAAATGGAATGACTCTCACAATATGGGAAATAATCAGGCCTTCCTGCCTAAATTGTGAAAGGAACAGGAATCCCAAAGCTCTCCAAATTTGGCAGTCAGGGTGGGCATGAGTCCTGCCACCTCCTCTTGCCCTCGTCCCATTGTAGTTATGTCCAATTCATCAGAGAGGATCATTGAGATTCTCTGTAATGAATTCACTGCTTCCACCTCTTTTTGAGTCCTTCTTTCATGCATGTAAGGGCAAATAACTTCAAACCAATGTACAGTCTGGGCTTTCGTATGGTTCTTTTTCGAGGCAGAATATGGAAGCCGAAAGCTGGACAGTTTTTACTTCAAGCAAGTTGCTCTTCTCTCAAAATTTAGGAGATCAAAGCCCGTCTGCACTGTAACTGCCTTCCTTTAAAAGGCAAGAGTGCTAGCCATGTTCTGGAAGCATCACGGTCGTCAAGACCACCACTTATCTGGACCTCAGAGGGGTTATGTTTGAGTCAATCAGCGTCCTCAGAAACCTGTTGTCATCATCGATCCAGAGAAGGCAGCTTTGAACACATGAGCATCCCCAGTGACACTGGAAAGCAGTGAAAGATAGACTCTTTGGCTTTGAAGAGGAAGATCAGCATTGTGCGGCAGGCTTCTTTCTCAGGATCTCAACTGAGGTAAAGCATCAAGGAGATCATGAAGACATTTTCTCCTATACGTTATAGCCCATTAGTCATCAACAAATATCAACACTCTATTGTGCCACAGGAACAGAACACAAGATAAACACATGATGAATTTTGATGAATTGAATTTGATCTTGACAACTAGCTTCATGGACAAAAAGAAGAAAAGTATAAAATAAAATGCAACAAAAATACAGGGGTGTACTTAATATGTTTCAAAGGGCAAAAATGTTCCTGGATTTCTTGATTACCTATTCAAGATGGAAGTTTTTGATAGTTTCCAATTCCTCCTATTTCAGTGTGTCATCATCATCATCAAAATCACCATCACCATCAAAATCACCATCATCATCATCATGATCATCAACATTGTTTTATGCCTTATCCTCCACCCTTTCTAGCAGCCAATTCTTTCCTCAGTTTACCTCTATGGACATTGCAGTCAGTCTTGCCAGTGTCCATGTTGCTTTCATGTTGAAATTCTTAGCCTAACAACCTCAACCACATGGCTGTCTCTGCCCTCTTGTCATGAGAGGAAAGCCAGCGGAACCAACAATAATAGGCAATTATAACCAATGAATTTAAAATCAATTTTATCTTTCTGGTAGAGTTTTTTGTGTTTGTGTGTCTCTTGTGACAACATGCTCTTTTATTTCATGAATATTAACAAAGGTTCAGCTTCAACTTCCATATTAGGTAAATATTATATAGGACTTGACTCTGATCATTTCTCTGAGCTTTGGAACCCACAATCGCTCCACACAAACCTACTTTTCAGATTTGAGATAAAATGCTTTTTATAAAATATATATGATCAAGCTGCCATTTGGAGAGGCTCTCCATGAAAAGAAACACACCCAGATGCACCAGTAACCTGGAAGTCTGAAGATTTTTTTTGTGAAACTGAAAGGGGGAAATTTCTGAAATCACATAAATTAAAGACAGAGTAGCAAAACACTTATCTTGCTTCTCAGTATGCTAGATGGCTACATTCAAGGGTGGGCTCGCCAGCAATTCTCAAGAAGAGGACTGCTCAAAACGGGTGGAAAGAAGTGTTGGGTGAATGGAGGTGAGGTGAAAAACCCTTAAATCATGGGATACATGAAAATTGAGCATCCCAAATTTACCATACATCAGAAAGATTGAATAGAATGGTGGTTTGAAGAGACATTTTTGAATAACCTTCACACACCTGAAGTCACTCAATGGTGATATTTCTAAAATTTTTCACTAGCTGAGAAGGGAATTCCCCTCGATGAGACCTAGTATGTCAAAAATGAAGAGTGATAGACTTAAGGACATGGGCAGGAACAAAAACATAATGGTCAAGAGAGTATCACCTTAGAACTTAAACTCTGTGAAATTATGAAGTCCAAGATGGGACTTTTAGAAAGCCCCAGACTTTGCAAAAATGATTGAGCCAAGAGATAGACACTCGGTGCTTACCTTTTCTGCATGAAGAATAAGAAGACCTCCAGGAGTCTGTCCTGTAACAGTAGAGAAATAAAAGTTATCAGGGATGCTAAGTTTTCCACACAACACTGTCTGCCTTGATAGCCACATTATGCAGACTACCTAGCATACCCACCCTTTCCATCCAACCTTTACCTGTTTCTTCCTTCCTCTATTTTGGCTTGTCTTACAATGACACCTTTCCTTCCTGATTGCTTCTACCAAGCTGCCAGTCTCTGTCCTTTAGACAATAACCTAAGTGGAGACAGTAGTTTTCCCTTCGATTTACTACGGGCAGATGGAGAGTAGCATGGGGATGTCATGGTGCCTCTCTCTCATACTCCTTTGTCCTGACATCTTCTATTCCACATCTCCTAGCACACTGTATCTGCTTTAAGAAGGATGGGGCCTGACAGAATCTCGGATGTTGCTTTCACATCTTTTAGAAGACATGGCTGAGCAAACAGTTCCCTAGAGGTGTATCATCTTCCGATTCATCATGAGAAAATATTTTTCACCCAAGCACAGCAACAGCATTATGGATGATAGAATCAAGAGAGACATCCATCAAAAAGCAGACAATGTCTGGACCTTGAGCAACTCCACTTAATCCCAAGACAGGTAATATCTTTGAATATGTAATGTGAGCAATTCTTATTTCTCTGAAGTATAGGAAATGGCAACATGAACTAAACTGGTGGATGGCAATCCGAAATTCTCTTGCGAACTTCTGGTTGGGAATGGTGTATGTCATTTGGAGAGCAGGAGGTGTTGTTCATTCGAATTCCCTACCCATGTACAATGTTGGTGATCATAACATTTCTCTGGATCTTTGGGGAAATCTGAGGATTTTCTTTCATCATGGCTCTGTGTTATATGCAACTTATCTCTGAATCTTTTTCTGTTAGTTGGGAATTGGTTGCTCTGATCAGTGATTGCCTTCACCCCTGTTACACGTGAAAGCTTCATGTGTCTGCTGCATTATTTATGCTCCTCGGGAACATGCTTCCCATTTTGTCCCAGCTGATTGGTTTGGAGGCCTGCATGGAAGTGAAATGCTTGATGGACGTTGGAATTGTATCTCTGAGCCAACTATACTTCTTGTGAATCTCTCAGCATGCAAATAAATCAAAACAGTGTAAACAACGTGAAGGTCCGAATCACAGACCAGGCTGATGAAAAGACAGATTTTAATTGGACTTTATCAAAAAGTTCTCTCATCTTTGAATAAGAAATTATGATAGTAAGATATGAGAGCTGAGAATATCCAGACATGAAAAACAACTCTATATGGTGGCTGGAGCGTGAGATGACCATTAGCATGGAGAATTGATACAGCATCCAGGGAGTGTGATATATTCAGAGACAACAAGGGAAATGGAATGACTCTCACAATATGGGAAATAATCAGGCCTTCCTGCCTAAATTGTGAAAGGAACAGGAATCCCAAAGCTCTCCAAATTTGGCAGTCAGGGTGGGCACGAGTCCTGCCACCTCCTCTTGCCCTTGTCCCATTGTAGTTATGTCCAATTCATCAGAGAGGATCATTGAGATTCTCTGTAATGAATTCACTGCTTCCACCTCTTTTTGAGTCCTTCTTTCATGCATGTAAGGGCAAATAACTTCAAACCAATGTACAGTCTGGGCTTTCGTATGGTTCTTTTTCGAGGCAGAATATGGAAGCCGAAAGCTGGACAGTTTTCACTTCAAGCAAGTTGCTCTTCTCTCAAAATTTAGGAGATCAAAGCCCGTCTGCACTGTAACTGCCTTCCTTTAAAAGGCAAGAGTGCTAGCCATGTTCTGGAAGCATCACGGTCGTCAAGACCACCACTTATCTGGACCTCAGAGGGGTTATGTTTGAGTCAATCAGCGTCCTCAGAAACCTGTTGTCATCATCGATCCAGAGAAGGCAGCTTTGAACACATGAGCATCCCCAGTGACACTGGAAAGCAGTGAAAGATAGACTCTTTGGCTTTGAAGAGGAAGATCAGCATTGTGCGGCAGGCTTCTTTCTCAGGATCTCAACTGAGGTAAAGCATCAAGGAGATCATGAAGACATTTTCTCCTATACGTTATAGCCCATTAGTCATCAACAAATATCAACACTCTATTGTGCCACAGGAACAGAACACAAGATAAACACATGATGAATTTTGATGAATTGAATTTGATCTTGACAACTAGCTTCATGGACAAAAAGAAGAAAAGTATAAAATAAAATGCAACAAAAATACAGGGGTGTACTTAATATGTTTCAAAGGGCAAAAATGTTCCTGGATTTCTTGATTACCTATTCAAGATGGAAGTTTTTGATAGTTTCCAATTCCTCCTATTTCAGTGTGTCATCATCATCATCAAAATCACCATCACCATCACCATCATCATCATCATGATCATCAACATTGTTTTATGCCTTATCCTCCACCCTTTCTAGCAGCCAATTCTTTCCTCAGTTTACCTCTATGGACATTGCAGTCAGTCTTGCCAGTGTCCATGTTGCTTTCATGTTGAAATTCTTAGCCTAACAACCTCAACCACATGGCTGTCTCTGCCCTCTTGTCATGAGAGGAAAGCCAGCGGAACCAACAATAATAGGCAATTATAACCAATGAATTTAAAATCAATTTTATCTTTCTGGTAGAGTTTTTTGTGTTTGTGTGTCTCTTGTGACAACATGCTCTTTTATTTCATGAATATTAACAAAGGTTCAGCTTCAACTTCCATATTAGGTAAATATTATATAGGACTTGACTCTGATCCTTTCTCTGAGCTTTGGAACCCACAATCGCTCCACACAAACCTACTTTTCAGATTTGAGATAAAATGCTTTTTATAAAATATATATGATCAAGCTGCCATTTGGAGAGGCTCTCCATGAAAAGAAACACACCCAGATGCACCAGTAACCTGGAAGTCTGAAGATTTTTTTTGTGAAACTGAAAGGGGGAAATTTCTGAAATCACATAAATTAAAGACAGAGTAGCAAAACACTTATCTTGCTTCTCAGTATGCTAGATGGCTACATTCAAGGGTGGGCTCGGCGGCAATTCTCAAGAAGAGGACTGCTCAAAACGGGTGGAAAGAAGTGTTGGGTGAATGGAGGTGAGGTGAAAAACCCTTAAATCATGGGATACATGAAAATTGAGCATCCCAAATTTACCATACATCAGAAAGATTGAATAGAATGGTGGTTTTAAGAGACATTTTTGAATAACCTTCACACACCTGAAGTCACTCAATGGTGATATTTCTAAAATTTTTCACTAGCTGAGAAGGGAATTCCCCTCTATGAGACCTAGTATGTCAAAAATGAAGAGTGATAGACTTAAGGACATGGGCAGGAACAAAAACATAATGGTCAAGAGAGTATCACCTTAGAACTTAAACTCTGTGAAATTATGAAGTCCAAGATGGGACTTTTAGAAAGCCCCAGACTTTGCAAAAATGATTGAGCCAAGAGATAGACACTCGGTGCTTACCTTTTCTGCATGAAGAATAAGAAGACCTCCAGGATTCTGTCCTGTAACAGTAGAGAAATAAAAGTTATCAGGGATGCTAAGTTTTCCACACAACACTGTCTGCCTTGATAGCCACATTATGCAGACTACCTAGCATACCCACCCTTTCCATCCAACCTTTACCTGTTTCTTCCTTCCTCTATTTTGGCTTGTCTTACAATGACACCTTTCCTTCCTGATTGCTTCTACCAAGCTGCCAGTCTCTGTCCTTTAGACAATAACCTAAGTGGAGACAGTAGTTTTCCCTTCGATTTACTACGGGCAGATGGAGAGTAGCATGGGGATGTCATGGTGCCTCTCTCTCATACTCCTTTGTCCTGACATCTTCTATTCCACATCTCCTAGCACACTGTATCTGCTTTAAGAAGGATGGGGCCTGACAGAATCTCGGATGTTGCTTTCACATCTTTTAGAAGACATGGCTGAGCAAACAGTTCCCTAGAGGTGTATCATCTTCCGATTCATCATGAGAAAATATTTTTCACCCAAGCACAGCAACAGCATTATGGATGATAGAATCAAGAGAGACATCCATCAAAAAGCAGACAATGTCTGGACCTTGAGCAACTCCACTTAATCCCAAGACAGGTAATATCTTTGAATATGTAATGTGAGCAATTCTTATTTCTCTGAAGTATAGGAAATGGCAACATGAACTAAACTGGTGGATGGCAATCCAAAATTCTCTTGCGAACTTCTGGTTGGGAATGGTGTATGTCATTTGGAGAGCAGGAGGTGTTGTTCATTCGAATTCCCTACCCATGTACAATGTTGGTGATCATAACATTTCTCTGGATCTTTGGGGAAATCTGAGGATTTTCTTTCATCATGTCTCTGTGTTATATGCAACTTATCTCTGAATCTTTTTCTGTTAGTTGGGAATTGGTTGCTCTGATCAGTGATTGCCTTACCCCTGTTACACGTGAAAGCTTCATGTGTCTGCTGCATTATTTATGCTCCTCGGGAACATGCTTCCCATTTTGTCCCAGCTGATTGGTTTGGAGGCCTGCATGGAAGTGAAATGCTTGATGGACATTGGAATTGTATCTATGAGCCAACTATACTTCTTGTGAATCTCTCAGCATGCAAATAAATCAAAACAGTGTAAACAACGTGAAGGTCCGAATCACAGACCAGGCTGATGAAAAGACAGATTTTAATTGGACTTTATCAAAAAGTTCTCTCATCTTTGAATAAGAAATTATGATAGTAAGATATGAGAGCTGAGAATATCCAGACATGAAAAACAACTCTATATGGTGGCTGGAGCGTGAGATGACCATTAGCATGGAGAATTGATACAGCATCCAGGGAGTGTGATATATTCAGAGACAACAAGGGAAATGGAATGACTCTCACAATATGGGAAATAATCAGGCCTTCCTGCCTAAATTGTGAAAGGAACAGGAATCCCAAAGCTCTCCAAATTTGGCAGTCAGGGTGGGCACGAGTCCTGCCACCTCCTCTTGCCCTCGTCCCATTGTAGTTATGTCCAATTCATCAGAGAGGATCATTGAGATTCTCTGTAATGAATTCACTGCTTCCACCTCTTTTTGAGTCCTTCTTTCATGCATGTAAGGGCAAATAACTTCAAACCAATGTACAGTCTGGGCTTTCGTATGGTTCTTTTTCGAGGCAGAATATGGAAGCCGAAAGCTGGACAGTTTTCACTTCAAGCAAGTTGCTCTTCTCTCAAAATTTAGGAGATCAAAGCCCGTCTGCACTGTAACTGCCTTCCTTTAAAAGGCAAGAGTGCTAGCCATGTTCTGGAAGCATCACGGTCGTCAAGACCACCACTTATCTGGACCTCAGAGGGGTTATGTTTGAGTCAATCAGCGTCCTCAGAAACCTGTTGTCATCATCGATCCAGAGAAGGCAGCTTTGAACACATGAGCATCCCCAGTGACACTGGAAAGCAGTGAAAGATAGACTCTTTGGCTTTGAAGAGGAAGATCAGCATTGTGCGGCAGGCTTCTTTCTCAGGATCTCAACTGAGGTAAAGCATCAAGGAGATCATGAAGACATTTTCTCCTATACGTTATAGCCCATTAGTCATCAACAAATATCAACACTCTATTGTGCCACAGGAACAGAACACAAGATAAACACATGATGAATTTTGATGAATTGAATTTGATCTTGACAACTAGCTTCATGGACAAAAAGAAGAAAAGTATAAAATAAAATGCAACAAAAATACAGGGGTGTACTTAATATGTTTCAAAGGGCAAAAATGTTCCTGGATTTCTTGATTACCTATTCAAGATGGAAGTTTTTGATAGTTTCCAATTCCTCCTATTTCAGTGTGTCATCATCATCATCTGCATAACCATCACCATCACCATCACCATCACCATCACCATCATCATCATCATGATCATCAACATTGTTTTATGCCTTATCCTCCACCCTTTCTAGCAGCCAATTCTTTCCTCACTTTACCTCTATGGACATTGCTGTCAGTCTTGCCAGTGTCCATGTTGCTTTCATGTTGAAATTCTTAGCCTAACAACCTCAACCACATGGCTGTCTCTGCCCTATTGTCATGAGAGGAAAGCCAGCGGAACCAACAATAATAGGCAATTATAACCAATGAATTTAAAATCAATTTTATCTTTCTGGTAGAGTTTTTTGTGTTTGTGTGTCTCTTGTGACAACATGCTCTTTTATTTCATGAATATTAACAAAGGTTCAGCTTCAACTTCCATATTAGGTAAATATTATATAGGACTTGACTCTGATCATTTCTCTGAGCTTTGGAACCCACAATCGCTCCACACAAACCTACTTTTCAGATTTGAGATAAAATGCTTTTTATAAAATATATATGATCAAGCTGCCATTTGGAGAGGCTCTCCATGAAAAGAAACACACCCAGATGCACCAGTAACCTGGAAGTTTGAAGATTTTTTTTGTGAAACTGAAAGGGGGAAATTTCTGAAATCACATAAATTAAAGACAGAGTAGCAAAACACTTATCTTGCTTCTCAGTATGCTAGATGGCTACATTCAAGGGTGGGCTCGCCGGCAATTCTCAAGAAGAGGACTGCTCAAAACGGGTGGAAAGAAGTGTTGGGTGAATGGAGGTGAGGTGAAAAACCCTTAAATCATGGGATACATGAAAATTGAGCATCCCAAATTTACCATACATCAGAAAGATTGAATAGAATGGTGGTTTTAAGAGACATTTTTGAATAACCTTCACACACCTGAGGTCACTCAATGGTGATATTTCTAAAATTTTTCACTAGCTGAGAAGGGAATTCCCCTCTATGAGACCTAGTATGTCAAAAATGAAGAGTGATAGACTTAAGGACATGGGCAGGAACAAAAACATAATGGTCAAGAGAGTATCACCTTAGAACTTAAACTCTGTGAAATTATGAAGTCCAAGATGGGACTTTTAGAAATCCCCAGACTTTGCAAAAATGATTGAGCCAAGAGATAGACACTCGGTGCTTACCTTTTCTGCATGAAGAATAAGAAGACTTCCAGGATTCTGTCCTGTAACAGTAGAGAAATAAAAGTTATCAGGGATGCTAAGTTTTCCACACAACACTGTCTGCCTTGATAGCCACATTATGCAGACTACCTAGCATACCCACCCTTTCCATCCAACCTTTACCTGTTTCTTCCTTCCTCTATTTTGGCTTGTCTTACAATGACACCTTTCCTTCCTGATTGCTTCTACCAAGCTGCCAGTCTCTGTCCTTTAGACAATAACCTAAGTGGAGACAGTAGTTTTCCCTTCGATTTACTACGGGCAGATGGAGAGTAGCATGGGGATGTCATGGTGCCTCTCTCTCATACTCCTTTGTCCTGACATCTTCTATTCCACATCTCCTAGCACACTGTATCTGCTTTAAGAAGGATGGGGCCTGACAGAATCTCGGATGTTGCTTTCACATCTTTTAGAAGACATGGCTGAGCAAACAGTTCCCTAGAGGTGTATCATCTTCCGATTCATCATGAGAAAATATTTTTCACCCAAGCACAGCAACAGCATTATGGATGATAGAATCAAGAGAGACATCCATCAAAAAGCAGACAATGTCTGGACCTTGAGCAACTCCACTTAATCCCAAGACAGGAAATATCTTTGAATATGTAATGTGAGCAATTCTTATTTCTCTGAAGTATAGGAAATGGCAACATGCACTAAACTGGTGGATGGCAATCCAAAATTCTCTTGCGAACTTCTGGTTGGGAATGGTGTATGTCATTTGGAGAGCAGGAGGTGTTGTTCATTCGAATTCCCTACCCATGTACAATGTTGGTGATCATAACATTTCTCTGGATCTTTGGGGAAATCTGAGGATTTTCTTTCATCATGTCTCTGTGTTATATGCAACTTATCTCTGAATCTTTTTCTGTTAGTTGGGAATTGGTTGCTCTGATCAGTGATTGCCTTCACCCCTGTTACACGTGAAAGCTTCATGTGTCTGCTGCATTATTTATGCTCCTCGGGAACATGCTTCCCATTTTGTCCCAGCTGATTGGTTTGGAGGCCTGCATGGAAGTGAAATGCTTGATGGACGTTGGAATTGTATCTCTGAGCCAACTATACTTCTTGTGAATCTCTCAGCATGCAAATAAATCAAAACAGTGTAAACAACGTGAAGGTCCGAATCACAGACCAGGCTGATGAAAAGACAGATTTTAATTGGACTTTATCAAAAAGTTCTCTCATCTTTGAATAAGAAATTATGATAGTAAGATATGAGAGCTGAGAATATCCAGACATGAAAAACAACTCTATATGGTGGCTGGAGCGTGAGATGACCATTAGCATGGAGAATTGATACAGCATCCAGGGAGTGTGATATATTCAGAGACAACAAGGGAAATGGAATGACTCTCACAATATGGGAAATAATCAGGCCTTCCTGCCTAAATTGTGAAAGGAACTGGAATCCCAAAGCTCTCCAAATTTGGCAGTCAGGGTGGGCACGAGTCCTGCCACCTCCTCTTGCCCTCGTCCCATTGTAGTTATGTCCAATTCATCAGCGAGGATCATTGAGATTCTCTGTAATGAATTCACTGCTTCCACCTCTTTTTGAGTCCTTCTTTCATGCATGTAAGGGCAAATAACTTCAAATCAATGTACAGTCCGGGCTTTCGTATGGTTCTTTTTCGAGGCAGAATATGGAAGCAGAAAGCTGGACAGTTTTCACTTCAAGCAAGTTGCTCTTCTCTCAAAATTTAGGAGATCAAAGCCCGTCTGCACTGTAACTGCCTTCCTTTAAAAGGCAAGAGTGCTAGCCATGTTCTGGAAGCATCACGGTCGTCAAGACCACCACTTATCTGGACCTCAGAGGGGTTATGTTTGAGTCAATCAGCGTCCTCAGAAACCTGTTGTCATCATCGATCCAGAGAAGGCAGCTTTGAACACATGAGCATCCCCAGTGACACTGGAAAGCAGTGAAAGATAGACTCTTTGGCTTTGAAGAGGAAGATCAGCATTGTGCGGCAGGCTTCTTTCTCAGGATCTCAACTGAGGTAAGGCATCAAGGAGATCATGAAGACATTTTCTCCTATACGTTATAGCCCATTAGTCATCAACAAATATCAACACTCTATTGTGCCACAGGAACAGAACACAAGATAAACACATGATGAATTTTGATGAATTGAATTTGATCTTGACAACTAGCTTCATGGACAAAAAGAAGAAAAGTATAAAATAAAATGCAACAAAAATACAGGGGTGTACTTAATATGTTTCAAAGGGCAAAAATGTTCCTGGATTTCTTGATTACCTATTCAAGATGGAAGTTTTTGATAGTTTCCAATTCCTCCTATTTCAGTGTGTCATCATCATCATCAAAATCACCATCACCATCAAAATCACCATCATCATCATCATGATCATCAACATTGTTTTATGCCTTATCCTCCACCCTTTCTAGCAGCCAATTCTTTCCTCACTTTACCTCTATGGACATTGCTGTCAGTCTTGCCAGTGTCCATGTTGCTTTCATGTTGAAATTCTTAGCCTAACAACCTCAACCACATGGCTGTCTCTGCCCTCTTGTCATGAGAGGAAAGCCAGCGGAACCAACAATAATAGGCAATTATAACCAATGAATTTAAAATCAATTTTATCTTTCTGGTAGAGTTTTTTGTGTTTGTGTGTCTCTTGTGACAACATGCTCTTTTATTTCATGAATATTAACAAAGGTTCAGCTTCAACTTCCATATTAGGTAAATATTATATAGGACTTGACTCTGATCATTTCTCTGAGCTTTGGAACCCACAATCGCTCCACACAAACCTACTTTTCAGATTTGAGATAAAATGCTTTTTATAAAATATATATGATCAAGCTGCCATTTGGAGAGGCTCTCCATGAAAAGAAACACACCCAGATGCACCAGTAACCTGGAAGTCTGAAGATTTTTTTTGTGAAACTGAAAGGGGGAAATTTCTGAAATCACATAAATTAAAGACAGAGTAGCAAAACACTTATCTTGCTTCTCAGTATGCTAGATGGCTACATTCAAGGGTGGGCTCGCCGGCAATTCTCAAGAAGAGGACTGCTCAAAACGGGTGGAAAGAAGTGTTGGGTGAATGGAGGTGAGGTGAAAAACCCTTAAATCATGGGATACATGAAAATTGAGCATCCCAAATTTACCATACATCAGAAAGATTGAATAGAATGGTGGTTTTAAGAGACATTTTTGAATAACCTTCACACACCTGAGGTCACTCAATGGTGATATTTCTAAAATTTTTCACTAGCTGAGAAGGGAATTCCCCTCTATGAGACCTAGTATGTCAAAAATGAAGAGTGATAGACTTAAGGACATGGGCAGGAACAAAAACATAATGGTCAAGAGAGTATCACCTTAGAACTTAAACTCTGTGAAATTATGAAGTCCAAGATGGGACTTTTAGAAATCCCCAGACTTTGCAAAAATGATTGAGCCAAGAGATAGACACTCGGTGCTTACCTTTTCTGCAT